TTTTTTTTTTAAAATTGGTGGACTGATTCAAGCGATGCGGGGGGGGTTGAGTATATATAGGAGGATTTAGCAACGATTTAGCAACGATTTTGCATCGATTTAGCGTCGAATACCTTAGTGTCGATTTTGCATCGAATTAGCGTCGATTTTGCACCATAATCTCGTTTTTAATGAGTCTCCTACCTACCAATTTGAGGCAAATTCGACACTAAATTCGACGCTACGTAATCGACGCTAAATCGATGCAACATTAGCATCGATTTAGCATCGAATTCAGGAATTTCGACGCTAATTCGATGCTAATTAGCATCGATTTAGCGTCGAATTAATTTGACCCTAATTAGCGTCAAATTAGCGTCGAATATGTAGACTGACACAATTTCGACGCAATTTCGACGCTAATTTACAGTTTTCTTGTAGTGTCCGAACCTAATTTGCTTGATATCCAGAAAGCCTCTGACCATTAATACCTACTTTAATTGGCTTCCAAATCTGAGTCTTTAGATCGAAAACATCAGCGCAATTCTTCATGGATTCCTCCTCTGTTCCTCCAAGTAAACATATCTTGCCGTGTATAAAAGCAGACTCGGGGCGTTTCCTTGGCACCGTCATATCAGGAGTATCCCGCCAAGTGTGAGTAGCGGCCGAGGAGGGCTTGTTCATGATGGTTCCGCCCATTTGGTGAATCTCGAAACTGACGGCTAAAGTGGTTGACTTTGATGGGAAATCAAAGGAAGTGGGTGTGATGATGGGTGATAAGCTTAACTCATCCCTAATCCAACCGTAGTTGGTAGTTAGGTTTTGATCAAGAGTATACCAACGATCATGAGTGAAACTCTTGGCATAGGTAGAGGCAAGGCTCTGTATTTCCGGTCAGGGGGCGAACCGTGTAGAGCTCTTGAGAAGAGAGAAGAGATATATATTGGAGACTAAGGAGAGTGAACGGTAGTGAGATTTGGAGATTCGAGCTAAACAATTCAAAAAGATTTCATCTGGGAGACTTGTTTTCTCTAAAACCAACAATACACAAAAGTTTATTACTCAAATGAGAACTTACTTGGCTAATATCCGATCCAGAAGCACCACACTCGCATAACCTGAAGAGAAATATAGTCAATAGAGAAACTAATTAGCAACAAAAGAGACAATGTTTGCCCTTTGTCTTTCTTGCATACCAAGAAACCGAGTTGACGTCCTCGAAGACATTATGTAACCGAACCGCATCCACAATTTCCATGCCCGTTCAGAAGCTTGATGTGTGTTTTAAACGAGAGAATTTCAACATTCACTCATAAACTATTTTGATTTAAAAAATTCACGAAACACCGATTAAATCTAGTATCTACTATCGACCAATCGTAGTATAGCCATATTCTTCCTTGAACTTCATATATTTGTACATGAATATGAATCTATTGAGAGCGCAACTACGTGCACTCTATGCTACAAAGGGTTGTCCAATACCATGCTAAACATCTTTTGATACTCTGAAACCACCAGGCCCGGCCCATGAGCTGTGCAAGGAATGCTTTTGCACAAGACCCGACCCATACGTTTCACAATTCTGATTAAAAAAATTTTACAAAAAAATCCTAAATTTTTATAAAATTGCTGAAAAAAACCCTAAATTTTTATCAGTTTTATAGAAAGGCCATAAAATTTCTAATTTTTTTTTTGGCAGAAAGCCCATAAACTAGTGGGTCAAACCTGCTCGAAACTAATGCCAAAATAAATGAAATTTTGGAAACTAAAATACCAGAATTCCACGTTTTCCATTAGAATATTTAATACATATGTAATTTTTTTTGTTTTTGAGTTTTAATAGAAATAGGTTTACATACCCAAATCTTCAAAAATTATATTCTTTCATTTCTATTTATAATTTTTATGCTCTCTCGAAGAACAATAGTTTGTTGTTCGTAAAGAAAAAGCCAAATATGATTTGAGATTAGTAAGTCTAATTCAAATCGAAATAAAAAATCTAATTCGTCATAAATTAAAAAAAAATGAGTAGCTACATATAAAAGCACCAAATTCAAATAAGAATTGAAAAATCTAACTATTTAGAAATAGAGAAATTTCAAAAATTACTATTTTTCAAGTGCCACTTTAAAAAAAATGCCACATTTTCAAAAATTTTACAAAAATGTCACTTAAAAAAAAATCATAATATCATTTATGTTTGGGTCAACTATGTTGTATTAGGGTTTAGTTTTGAGAGTTTTAGGGGTTTTAGGGGTCAAAACATTTTTTAGGGTTTATAATTTGGGAAAATTTTCAAAAATACCATAAATTATCAAAAACTTATCTAAAATGCCACAATGACATTTTTCTTTCATAAAATGCCACAAAACACTGTTCAGTCGACTTAAAAAGATAATTATACCCA